CATTACTGCAGCCCTCCACCAGTCGGGGCTTTATGGCAGAGTGGCCCGACGGAAGCCTCTCCTCATTGCAAGACACATGAAAGCCCGCATGGAGGACTCCAAGATGGTGAGAAATAAGATTCTCTGGTCTGATGAGACCAAGATAGAACTTTTTGGCCTTAATTCTAAGCGGTATGTGTGGAGAAAACCAGGTACTGCTCATCACCTGTCCAATACAGTCCCAACAGTGAAGCATGGTGGTGGCAGCATCATGCTGTGGGGGTGTTTTCAGCTGCAGGGACAGGACGACTGTGTAACGAATCAGCTCATGTGAAATATGAATAACTAACCATAACTAACGAAGGAGTGGCTTCACAACAAGTCTGTGACTGTTCTTGAATGGCCCAGCCAGAGCCCTGACTTAAACCCAATTGAGCATCTCTGGAGAGACCTAAAAATGGCTGTCCACCAACGTTTACCATCCAACTTGACAGAACTGGAGAGGATCTGTAAGGAGGAATGGCAGAGGATCCCCAAATCCAGGTGTGAAAAACTTGTTGCAAATCTTTTGACTAATTATTATCTACCAGATTAAATTCAGGTGCAATGCATCTTTCTTGATCATTTTTGGATATGATAGCCCCAGTCCCCATCCACATTCAGGTAAAGTATTCCTTCAGAATATATGCATGGCATTAAAACATGTTTACATTTGTTAACATCATTTGAGAGTTTGGATCAGAAGATGAAAGGTCTTCCGGGAGGAACTGATTCCACCGCCTTTAGGGAAAGGAAACAGAAAGACACATGAGAAATAAGGATCCCCAAGGCTGAACGTATTTGCTGTAAAGTCCTAAAGGAATCTGGGTTATGTCCTGGCACGAACCCATAAACTGAACCTCATTTATAAACACAGACAGAGATGTTTGTTGTACAGTCCCATCTACTGGAGAACTGATGGTGGAAATGCAGACATTATTATTTGAATATTAATAAAAAAAAATAATTCAATTAATTTGCACAGCAAAGTGCATACATAGAAAGCAAATAACGGAAATGGAATTTAAAAACTGATTTAAAAATAAAATAACTAAAAAAAAACTTTCTCTCGCAATTGCGCATTTATATCACGCAATACTGACTTTATAACTCACAAAAAAGTCAGAATTGCGAGATAAAAAGTCGTAATTACCGTTTCTACATTTTTTATTCAGTGACGGAAACAGGCTTCCATAGATAGCTTCCCATTTTCTTTCTAAAAGATCATGAATAGTTATCGGTCATAACTTTGGAGAGAAATAGCGCAGACACTGAACTGTACGCATGCACTGAGCTGCGCTTCAGAAAGCACGCAAGTAGCGCTTCAACGGAAAAAAACACGCACACAATTATATAAAAATGTGATGTTTTGGCGAGTGACCAAGGTCTTAAACGAGTTATAAAGTCTTAAATGACAGAGAGTTGGGAGAAAACCCGATGCGTCTCAAACCACGTCATGTCTGTCAGGATTTAAAGAGACAGCGCTGCTTTTAAAGAGAAACCTGCTGCAGTCTTGTCATTGATGGAAATCAAAGAACAAAAGAAAAACAGAAATCACTCGACTGCTCTAGTCGCTTATTAACTTTTGTAGCTTGATTAAAGATGAATCTATATAGTTTATGCATATACAATTTTTAGTTTGTGAAGATTGTTTTAAGTTCACTTAAATTAATAGTCGTTATATTTTTCAGTGCCTAATAAATTTTAAAAATAATGGCTTTCAATTATACTGTAATGTTGAATGGCTATAATTAATAGCTAAAATTGAGGGGAAATGCATTTAATAGAGACATCAGTAGCAGTCTCAATGATACTGGCCTTCAATAATAATAATAATAGGCTACCGAGTAAAAAGATGCCCTTAAAAACATATACCATCTTTATGTTGTTTCTACATTAATTTTGAGATTCAGTGTGAAATTATGACAATATAAATATATTAATATGCGATTAATCACGATTTATTGTGACAATTTAATGCATCCTTGCCAAATAAAAGCATTCATTTCTTGACCCCAAACTTTTGAACAATAGTGTATACATAAACACTTCATACACTGTGTGTCATCAAATCTAATCTCATAAAAAAAAGACTGAGTTATAAATACGGTCTAATTTTACCAGACATGAGCAAAAAACAGACAACGTGCAAATGTAAGACAAAAATAATGCATCAGAGGCAGCTGTGTTTAGAACATGTAGTTTGTCAAGACATGGACATACGGTCAGCAATGGGAACATTGTGATAATAATTACATGTCTAGTGTACTTTATGTATAATTGTATATCAACAATGACTTGTAGTGCTTTCTGTAGTAAAAGTGTTGTATTATCAAAGCATGAAATTCAATTCAAATTCTAAATAAATAGAATGTTTGTTCCAATATTGACACCAGACAAAAATAGGCACAGGCTTCGTCCTATGATTGCTTTAGGAAAAAAAAAAACCCCAAAAGGTTCAGCTGAAGAAATCTGTAGCAGCTCATTCAACCAGGACAGAAGAGTTCCTTGACCACCCACAAAAAGAACACAGAGTGAAAGAGAAAATCCTAAGTGTGTATTAGGGACTACAACCATCAGTCAGTGATTCCTCGATGTCCAGTCTGTGAGGTAGAGCTGCAGTACATCAGTCAGTTCATCAGTCACTGGCATGGCTTCTGATGGAACGGATGCCATGAAGGTTCACTTCTCAGTTCAGTACCTGCGTCCTCAGGTAGAGTTCCACACCCTTTGCTCGGGTTCATAGCTCATCATGGTTCCTAGTAAGGTCTTCGCCATAGTTGGTGGCCTGGCTGCCTACAAACATGTTCCAGTTCTCAAGAATCTCTTCTTTGGTCAGCATCTGGTCCTAAAAAAATGAAACATTCCACCCAAATGACAAATGTGTTTTGCTGGTTATATTCCTCATTTGTAAGACACTTGGGATAAAAGTGTCTGCTAAATGAATAGATGTAAATGTAATGAGTGTTTGCAATATTTTTAGTCCACTAGTCCTTTATTGAACTCATGACAAAGCTGCTAAGTCCAAAAGAAACTGGCAGCTCTGGTACTGATGATAAACATTTTTTATTCTGTGTGTTCACACACAAACTCATGTCATAAAATTACTAGTAAAATTAGCTTTTCTACTAAAGGTAGCACATTAATTATTCACACGAGCAACAGACACACACAACCACCAAAATGTGGAAATTACCTTTAAATAATTGGAAATATACAAGGCTATAGTTATTTTAAAACACTGTAGCTATATGCACAATGTACACAATGCTATTATGTTTAATAACTAAATCTAATATCACATATGTCCTGCAACATTAAATTACAGAAATTATGCAAACTAATTGTCCTTAAAATTACTGACCAATTAACTTTTTATATATATATATATATATATATATATATATATATATACAATACCATTCAAAAGTTTAGATTTTTTAAATAACGGTTTTCTGTTATAATATATTTCGAAATGTAATTTATTCCTGTGATGGCAAAGCTGAATTTTCAGCATCATTACCCCAGTCTTCAGTGTCACATGATCCTTCAGAAATCATTCTAATATGCTGATTTTCTGCTAAAGAACGTTCAAAAATCAATGTTAAAAAAAGTTGTGCTGCTTAATAGTGGTCGACCGACATATCGCCATGGCCGATATTTGGCATTTTTCAAATATCGACATTGGCCGATAAGTTTTTCTGTTTGGCCGATACGTTCGAGGCGTTCTTTTATTTTGACGGCGCTGAGAGCGGCTGCGCTTGAGCACACAGTGCTCACATTCTCCCTCTTGTTCGCCGTCGTCGTTAACAGTTCTGTCTAATAATCAGATAGAGCTGTTAAACAAAGGAATTTGTTTACATTATAATACTTTCTCGTTTGCCGTTAGCATTCAGCAAATACACATTTAAACAAATCTTTGAATGGCTAATGAAAATTTTATTTCACAAACCTTGCAAACATAGTGGAATCCAGTTGTGAGATCTTGTGAAGTGTGCATGTGACCTGCATGATCATGTGTTCTCTGCATGACTTTCGGTCAGTGCAAATTGAATGCTTTAAACATTAAATTCGTGATTTCAAATTATGCTGCCCTTTATGCATTTGCCCACTCTCATATTCATGTCATTTTCACTGTGAGCTGTATGTAAAATGAGTGTTACCTTGGCTTTATTTGAAAAAAAATATGATTCCCAATGCACACAAACTTCCCAGAATACTGAGTGCTCCGTTGGTTACAGTTTACTTCCTTTTTAATTATATTTTAATTAAATATTTATTTATTTGTGCAAAATACTTTGTCAAGCATAAGTATGTTTATTTTACAAATTCTTTTTTTTTTTTATCAATTTTCAAATTTCTTAAATATTAATTAAAATAAATACAATTATATCGGCTTTATATCGGCCACCCTGTTTTCCAAGATATCGGCATCGGCTGTCAAAAAACCAATATCGGTCGACCACTACTGCTTAATATTTTTGTGGAAACTGATTTTTCAGGATTTTTTGATTAACAGACAAATGGCATTTATTTGACATATTTCTTTTATAACAGTCTAAATGTCTTTACTGTAACTTTTGATCAAAATAATGTGTCACTGCTGATTAAAGATATTAATTCCTTTAAAAATACATAAATTTCTCTGATTACAAACTTTGGTAGTGGTAATGTTAGTGTGTATCAAATAAATTAATATATTTAAATAAATTAATTCTTATTGTATTTTTTTTCCCAGTTAATTTTTAGTATGCATTTAATTGTTTAAATTACCATTAATGTATTATAACATCGATACTAAAATTCTGGAGATATTCCTGGACAGCATGACAGTAGGTTCTCACCTTGTCTGTGTCTGACTCTGACACCAGATGCCGAGCCTCTGCCTGCGCGTGGTCATAGTCCTGCGGCAGGATCCAGTGACGAATCTCTTCGAAGTCCATCTTCCCATCTTTATTCAGATCTCGGAAATCTGAAAACTGGTCTCTCTCGGTTCTAACCCAGTCTGGCTCTGGGCCACCATCTTCATGAGCAAACATGTCCGCTGTAAAATAGCAAAAGGTCTAAAAACGTTTCCCTTGGATACAGAACATTAAAAGGATAGTTCACCCCAAAAACGTCAATTTTGTCAAGAGTCTAAAACTCACAAAAAAAGTGATCTGTAATACATTCTTCTGTCCTTCAGACAAAAATACAGATATACCTACCAATGTATTCGTCCTCATCTACATGACCATCCCCATTCTTGTCAATGTCCTCCAGAGTTTCCTGGTAAAATAAAGAAACTGGGAATGAGATGAATCAGTTACTTTATGAAAAGATAGCATGATGGTGATTTTCAATAGTCTGCATAATTAAAGTGACAGTAAGTACCACTGTCTAAAATTCAAACCCCATAATCCAACCGACACTCACAAGAACCACAATTTCCTGCATCTGCTCAAACTCCTCTGGGTGGAGGAAAGCAGTGAACTCCTCTCGCTCTGCAGCTAAATCGCCATTGAGATCTGCAGCCTTAAACCTACGTTCATCTCGCGGAAGCATCTTCTTGAAGCTGAACTGATCTGTTGCATCCTCAAACTCTTCTGGATTGGCTGGGAGAAGAGTAGATGTTGAATCTCATGTAGGTGACTATCACGAAAACACTTCATCAATATTAAAACTTTAGATAGTTTCAGAAACGAGTGACTCACCAAGGTAGTAACCGTACGTTGCTTGCTTAAATTCATCCCATGAGATCTTGTTGTCTTTGTTCAGGTCATAGTCAGACCAAACTTTTGCGACGTTCTCATAGACGTAACGCTTCTGTACTCTCTTGATCCAGGCCTTGAGTTCATCAGTGGTGATATAACCATCAACATTGCTGTCAATACGATCAACTATTTTCCTAAGGAATTTAGAAGTGCAAAGAAAGAATAGAGTGAATAAAGTAGAAACTTACAGAGAATAAATATTAGAATGGACACTGAGGTTGAGTTTTCTCAGACACATTTCTAGCTTTTCACCTCAAAGATGGTGGATCGATCCAATTCGTATGAAAATAGAGATACAGCACCCCAAAAATCGAAGGAAGAAAAAAGGAAAAGCAAGAAATGTGTATGCATGTGTGTGTGTATAATACTATAATCGAAAATTTTATATTATTATTATTAGTGACTGGTTAATTTCCAGCATAATGGTGAACATATTTAAACAGATATTTGCTATGGATGTTTTTATTTTATTATTTTTTAATAATTTGCATTATTCAGTGGTTTTATTACTCAGTGGTGACTCTCATTGTTGCAATATTACCTTGATAATCTCTCAAATAAAATGCATAATTATATATAACATTTTAAAAAGTTCTAAATATGCCGTTTTTATATTAAAAATATTTCAAAAATGATTTATCTATATTTGCATTTCATTTTTTCCTTATTTCTTCCAATTTCTCATTTCTTTATGCTTATTTTCGATTGAAATACGACCCAGAAATGTTCTTGACAGAAACTAGACTCCAAGTGACTAAAAGACTGTCAACAGCACATTATTTTGATCTCTGATGCCACGTTGTGATGTGAAAAGAGCCCTCCCACTCACAGGACTGGAGAGGGAGCTCTGTGGGAAGAGAACAAGGTTTGTGCCTACATCCCCATCTCAGGGTGAGCTGGAAAACTTGTTACATTGGCAAGAATAGAGATAATCCCTGATATCCAACACCAAACTGTTAATTAACATGACAGTGTGGCAACCACCATGCATGAGGAATTTTGTCACGTGACAGGAAAACCATAAAATAGACTCTCTTGGAGGTCATATATATATATATATATATATATATATATATATATATATGAGCTGGAAAACTTGTTACATTGGCAAGAATAGAGATAATCCCTGATATCCAACACCAAACTGTTAATTAACATGACAGTGTGACAGTGTGCATGCATGAGGAATTTTGTCACGTGAAAGGAAAACCATAAAATAGACTCTCTTGGAGGTCATATATATATATATATATATATATGTATGTGTGTGTGTGTGTGTGTGTGTGTGTGTGTGTGTGTGTGTGTATGTATGTATGTATGTATATATGCGTTATGTATGTATGTTTATGTATGTATGTATGTATGTATGTATATATATATATATATGTGTTATGTATGTGTGTGTGTGTATGTATGTATGTATGTATAGATGTGTTATGTATGTGTGTGTGTGTGTATGTATGCGTGTGTGTGTATGCATGCGTGTATATATATATATATATGTGTGTGTGTGTGTGTTATGTATGTATGTATGTATGTATGTATGTATGTATGTGTGTGTGTGTGTATGCATGCATGCATATATATGTGTGTATGTATGTATGCATGTATGTATCTGTGCTGGAAAGATGGCATGTGTTAGCATATTATGCAAATAATAAATGACAAAAATCATGTTGGCCTGTTTGTAGAGGGGAATTGGAGATGACACTGGCAGCAAGTTATTCCCACAGTACATTAGAGCCTATGCAAATTTCAAACATATGGAAATATTTATTAATTTGTGACTAAATTAATATGACCATTTTGACAAGATTTGCCTAAAGCTACACTGGCAACATCACAGATGTTTGCATTTCATTTCATTTATTTATTTTTTATAGTGGAGGCCGGCAGAAAGCTATTGGATGATATATAGAAAGATACACTTTCACTTTTAACACTAACAATTAAAACAGAAAATGTAAAACTATAAATGATAAAGACACTTTCTTGATGGTTGACTAAACTGATTCCACATACAGGTGCATCTCAATAAATTAGAATGTCGTGGAAAAGTTCATTTATTTCTGTAATTCAACTCAAATTGTGAAACTCGTGTATTAAATAAATTCAGTGCACACAGACTGAAGTAGTTGAAGTCTTTGGTTCTTTTAATTGTGATGATTTTGGCTCACATTTCACAAAAACCCACCAATTCACTATCTCAACAAATTAGAATACTTCATAAGACCAATAAAAAAAACATTTTTAGTGAATTGTTGGCCTTCTGGAAAGTATGTTCATTTACTGTACATGTACTCAATACTTGGTTGGGCCTCCTTTTGCATGAATTACTGCATCAGTGCGGCGTGGCATGGAGACAATCAGCCTGTGGCACTTTAGTACACCTGTACTAACCTTTCTTCAGTAGGCCTACTTGGGCAAATAATTGTCGTGCTGCCATGCGTAACATAAAGAACAAGGAAAAATTGCTTTCTGTCTCTTAACCATTGATCTGTAGACCTTTCGTGTTCATGAACTGTGTGTTCACTCACTGTGCCTGCATTAAAAAGCCGTTTGCAAATGAAGGGCATCAGTGAGGAAAATAGTGTTTATAGCACCATGTTATAAAGACAAATGATCCTTTGCGCATGAACATTGAAACATTTTAAAACTTGTTTTATGCGCAATCTATCTCATGGCTCTTAATCTAGCATTACATTCCCAGTTTTATGTCATTAATCAACTGGAAATATATCGATGGCAAGAATCCGGTGGTTATTCGGATGAGCTGGGCCAGAAGAAAAGGCTGTATTAATCATATCAGAGGAAGTGTTAATTCCATAGTTTGGCTTACAGCACTAATGTTCCATTAATTAGAATAGCTTTCATAAACATGTGTCTTGCGTTCGATAATATGGCACTGTCCTGATGATTCATTAGAGAAATTAGACAACTGAGCATGATTTGGAACACTGATGATAAACTGCCAGGCCAGTCCAATGAAGAAAATGTTCTGGTAATTGACATTTCTATAAACACATTTCATAATTGAAACCAGAACAAAATCTGTAAAATAAGGGTTTTCACTGTAAAAAAAAAAGTCCCGTAAAAAATGGTAAATGAAAAAAAACTTCCTCGTTTTAATGATTTATTATTTTTATTTATATATTATCAAATACATACCTAATTGTTCTAGAAATTATTTTTATATTAATATATTTTTTGAGTTATGTTCACCTTTAATACATTTGATATTTTTTCAATAATATTTGTAATCTTTATCTTGTCCCGTGAATGAATGGAAAAGTCATTGAAAAGTCATAGACAAAAGCAGAGGGAATCCTGAAGTAAATAACTCTGTGTGAGAGCAGCATGTGTTGGTTGCGTTCAAATATCACACACATAATCTCCTTCATCATCCAAGCCTTTAAAGCAATAATATCTGTTATTCAGTATCTATCAAAACGGTCTCAGGAGAGAAGGTTGAACAAGGACAAGATAATCAGGGGGTGACACCAAATGCTTCCTGTGATCTGAAATCTGGAAGTGACATAAGATGCAAAAATGATTGAGAGGAAACAAAAGCAAGCAAGATGTGCTTTTGTGTGGAGTGAGTGATGTGATGATTATAACCATCAAGCTTGGACTGAAACGCAGACACATCTCTTCATAGTCAGCCAACTGGAGCGCCTCATGAGAACTCAAATGCTTTATGGTCCTGCGAAAAGAAACAGACATATTCTCATTCAAACTGTGTGATCTGGGTACACTGGGGGGGGATAGTTCATCCAGAAATGAAAATGTACTTGCCCTCAGACCATCTGAGATGTAGATGAGTTTGTTTCTTCATCGGAACAGATTTGGAGAAGTTTGATTGGAGATTGGCCTGTTTATGCCTAACGATCAAGCCGAGACGACTTTTTCACTGAAAAAAGCAATATTACGGATAGAGGACTTGTATTTTAGCTGGAATCAACTGTTCAAGGTTATAAAATTAGTTCAATGATTTTGATGAGTTGATGGAAAAACATTTTGCCATGACTTGATCAAACTGATCATATTTACAGTGTACAGACACAAATGAATTACACAGTGTGTACATTTTATGAAACAAGTACATAACTCTGCATTAGTCGTTGCTACAATACTAAGGAGTTTAAAAAACAACCCACATCCCAAATAAGATCTCTAATTTGAGGCATACAATTAATGTCTGTAGCACAAACAGTTTAGTACTTAATGTTAGTGGCTTCTTCAAATTGGCACAATTCACAATTCGCCCCCCTCAACACACCCCCACGGCCCCCGGAATGTTCCAGGAATGTCCGATGATTAATAGCTGATTAGTGCTCATTAATAAGGGTCTGCAGAGCCTGTAGTTCTGCCACTGCAAAGGTCACAGTCAGAAAAAGGGGCAGATGGGTAATCTTTCTTTTAACTACTGCCATCTCTTGGCCAGTTATCCAGTGCTTCAGCCAGGCCCAGAGGCGACTAGAGTGTCACACAATTATTAAATGATTTCTGACCTCAATAAGCTGGCTGGTGCAAAAATATTGTATATGCTTTAACAAATTATGAAGAGTAAAAAGAAAGTGGGTGATGTAGTGGTTAAAGACCTAAAATATGACCCTGGACCACAACACCAGTCATAAGGGTAAATTTTTTGAAATTGAGATTTAAAATAAATAAGCTTTCTATTGATGTATGGTTTTGTTAGGATAGGACAATATTTGGCTGAGATACAACTATTTGAAAATCTGGAATCTGAGGGTGCAAAAAAAAATTTAAATACTGAGAAAATCGCCTTTAAAGTTGTCCAAATGAAGCTCTTTATTACTAATCAAAAATTAAGTTTTGATATATTTACAGTAGGAAATTTACAAAATATCTTCATGGAACAAGATCTTTACTTAATATCCTAATGATTTTTGGCATAAAATAAAATTTGATAATTTTGACCCATACAATGTATTTTTTTTGGCTATTGCTAAAAATATACCCCAGCGACTTAAGACTGGTTTTGTGATCCAGGGTCACAAATGGTAGGCAGTAGGTTTGAATGCAGAAAGGAGCAATACCTACATGAATTATCATTACTGTAGTCTGAATACAAATTTAGCAAAACATGACTGGAATAAACAGTTGCAAT